GGGCGTGGACCTTGTCGCAGGCCTTTGAGCGGTTGTCTCACCTACTGCACCAGCAAGGCCATGGGAAAGATTTTCAAATTATATATTTAGTAATCCAATATATATATATAATTATATATATATACAAATACATACATACATACATACATACATACATACATACATACATACATACATACATACATCATACGCACATACATACATACATATATATATATAATACATAGATGTCCTGTTCCCTTTTTTTGGTTGGTTAATAGCGGTGTGTGTGTATCCCTTCGACAACAGGTAAATGATGAAGATGGTATACCAAACCGGCCCGTTTATTTTTACCAAAAGGACATTATCGTATATATATATATGTAATTTAACCTGCAACTTTATATATATATATATGTATACGTGTATATTGTTAAATATGCATTGAATCAATTTATGCATTGAATCAGTATATGAATATTTATTTATTTGACTTATGTATTATTACATAATAGGGACAAGGATTTTCAACCGCGAGATTTTGGGGTACCCTTTTTTCAGAACCAATAAAGGTTTCGGATCGTTGAATTTCACTAATCAATATTGGTTTTGCAAGTTTAAGTGGTTCAGTACTACTAAGTACTAATAAGTGGTTTGCGCCCATATCACTAAGAGCAACATTATATAACTGGTGAAACAGCATTGTTTTAATAATCGGTTTAGTATTTCTAAACAACCAGGACAAAGACCAACAAGACTTTACTTTTGCTTGTGAACCAGAATAAGGAACCAACAATCAACTTGGTAAAGCAAATTATGTGTGTTCAATGGATTGGTTGTTGGTTGTTTAGCAATAAACCATAATAAAACTGCAATTTAAGGATGGTTTCTACTTCCCATTTATGGTCGTAGTGGAGATCGTTTACTATTGGGTTTACTACATTATTTGGCAAAAGCAACGGCTAAAACTCCTTGGTTTTAAGCCCTCCAAATTGATTGGGATCCCGGTCAAATTTCCCATCCAATTCTGTGATTAAGCAATTTCTGCATAGAGATGTTCAGAGTGAGTATGTCACAGAGGACTTTCCAAAAACAATTAATGTGGGTAAAACAAAAATAAACCACCCATTTGGGAATAGTTTGTACCACCTATTTATGGTAATTTGGGCGATGGTTTATTTTTGTTGTGCCCACATTATATAGGTTTACTTCTAACTGCATGCTATAAACGGAGGGGGGATACAGGCCGCTCTTGCAGTATGTCCAATTTCGCGGCCTTGGCTGATTTCATCCTATTATAGCGCCACCACCAAAACGATTTATAGCGACGGACTGAAACTTAGAATGCCGCACCCCTTCAGGTCGCGCTGTCCTAAAGAATGCCGCCGCGGGGGCAAAATCTTAAAAAACCCTGGTAAAATGCAATTTTCGGGTACCTGTAATTTGAGCTGGTCTTTTTGTAATGAGTCGTTCGTAGGTAAATTTTGTGAGAATTTGCAGCGTAATATGAGATTGAGTGCCGCACATAGAATGCCTCCGGCCAAAAAGTCCAGGTCACAGCATGTCAAACATTTGAAGCCCATATTTTCAAAATACTCGGTATACGTGGGGTTTTATGTACTTTGTGCAGCCCACATAGAATGCCGCCAAAAACATATACAAATGTCATCATTCTGTTGCAAAATCTCTGTTTTTTTTGTGAAACACATGGTTTGAAGGATTGTATAAATTTACTATTTCATATGAATAATTGTATATAAATCCAATCTCATGGGAGGTTTCCTTTCCTTTTTCCTTTCCTTTCTCCTTTCCTTTCTCCTTTCCTTTTTCCTTTCCCCTTTCCTTTCTCCTTTCCTTTCTCCTTTCTTTTCTCCTTTCCTTTCTCCTTGCTTTTCCCCTTTCCTTTCTCCTTTCCTTTCTCCTTTCCTTTCTCCTTTCCTTTCTCCTTTCCTTTCCCCTTTCCTTTCTCCTTTCCTTTCTCCTTTCCTTTCTCCTTTCCTTTCTCCTTTCCTTTCTCCTTTCCTTTTTCCTTTCCTTTCAACCAGACGGTTCTCCTTACCTTTCTCCTTTCCTTTCTCCTTTCCTTTCCAAGGGTTTCCTTTCTCCTTTCCTTTCTCCTTTCCTTTCTCCTTTCCTTTCTCCTTTCCTTTTACACTTAGAATGCTGCCAAAAATGTTACACATAGAATGCGTCCACGGGTTTTGGGTGCACAGCAGAGAGCGGCATGTGGGTGTGGGATTTTTTGCTGGGTGGCAGTTTCCACGTGGAAGTAGCTTGTCCTGGGCGATTGGGTGTCCGTACGGGCTGCGGCCATTTGTAAACACGCGCGAAGTGTAAAACAAAAAAAGAAGTGGAGGAGGGCAGGGCAGGGGGGTATTAGGGGAATGGGCCGGGAAGGGGGACCAGGGAAAGGGAAGGGCAAGGGGGGGAACGGGACGGGGGAAGGGACAAGGGGAAGGGAAGGGGGTAGACGGGTAGGGGGGGGGGTGGGGGGGGAAGGGAAGGGTGAAGGGAAGGGGGAAGGTGAAAAGAAGGGGATGAAGGTGGAGGGGCGAAGGGGCAAGGGTTAGAAGTGGGGGAGAAGGGAAAAGGGGAAGGGGAAGGGAAGTATGGGAGCAATTTTGGGCCCGGGGAAGATGAAGCGGGGGGGGGGGAGAAGGCGATATGGGGCGAAGGGAAGGGGAGAAGGACAGGGGGGCGGGGGAGAAGGGAAGGGAGACAGGAAAGGGAGAAGGGAAAGGGAGAAAGGGAAGGGAGAGGGAAGGGAGAATGGCCTGGACCTGGAAGTGAGAAGGGAAAGGGAAGTGGCGCATGGCAGGGAGAAGTGAGGGGAGAAGGAAGGGAGACGGTAAGCGGGGGAATATGGCAGTTAGATTTAATTTATACCGGTAAGTTTAAGGTTATGTGTCTAAACTTTAAGTTTCTGTGGTCATTTTAGCCTTTCCTTTTTCCTTCCCTTTCAACCAGACGGTTTTACACTTAGAATGCTGCCAAAAATGTTACACATAGAATGCGTCCACGGGTTTTGGGTGCATGGGTTGTATGATTTTTGCTGATTTCCACATGAACTATGCTTTCCTTGACGATTTTTGTCCCTCCCGGCTGCATTTGTAACACTTAGAATGCCACACCAATCCTTTCCTTTTTCCTTTCCTTTTTCCTTTCCTTTCTCCTTTCCTTTCTCCTTTCCTTTTTCCTTTCCTTTTTCCTTTCCTTTTTCCTTTCCTTTTTCCTTTCCTTTTTCCTTTCCCCTTTTTCCTTTCCCCTTTCCTTTCTCCTTTCCTTTTTCCTTTCCTTTCTCCTTTCCTTTATCCTTTCCTTTCCCCTTTCCTTTCTCCTTTCCTTTCTCCTTTCCTTTCTCCTTTCCTTTCTCCTTTCCTTTCTCCTTTCCTTTCTCCTTTCCTTTCTCCTTTCCTTTCTCCTTTCCTTTCTCCCCTTTCTTCTTTCCTTTCTCCTTTCCTTTCTCCTTTCCTTTCTCCTTTCCTTTCTCCTTTCCTTTCTCCTTTCCTTTCTCCTTTCCTTTCTCCTTTCCGTTCTCCTTTCCTTTCTCCTTTCCTTTCTCCTTTCCTTTCTCCTTTCCTTTCTCCTTTCCTTTCTCCTTTCCTTTCTCTTTCCTTTCTCCTTTCCTTTCTCCTTTCCTTTCTCCTGAAACTCACAAATGCGATTTAGGGGACAACAACTAGCATATTCACACCAGAACAGGGGATTGTATAATGAATTTTATATACCATCAAGACTTTAAGTCTATATCTCTAATAGCAACGGACTGAAACTTAGAATGCCTTGGACCAAAAAAATATTGAAAGGGTTTCCAAATATGGCGATAATCATGCGCACTTAGAATGCCTCATAAAGTCCAGCTCGCAGGTTTGAATGTTTTAGCGATGGAGGCATTCTAAGTGAGGCCAAAAAAAGGCATTCTAAGTGGCACCGTTAAAAATCTTGACAAACATGGCGGCATTCTAAGTTTCAGTCCGTCGCTATAGACGAGTAACCGTTACAACTAATTTAAGCCTACCGGATTTAATTTATCTGCATTTTTTTCGGGGGTATACGGTTCAAAAGATACCTCCAGTTTTTGATGTATGCTTATATCCTCCAGAAATCCTAGTTAGCCTACTTAATCCTGCCTATCTATATAATACTCTATATAGTCTATATATATATATTATCACGCAGTAAATATGAGGGAATTATATACATATGTATACACCCTATGGATCCAGCCGTACCTTCTGAAGGAATATTTCGGGTATGATTTAGGGGTTAGCCGCACCTTCCACCTTCTCAGATACTTGGATCAATTATAATGACCTCACTGTGACGCCACTGGAATGATGATTCGGATTCGGGGAATCATGCCCAAATGGCCGTACGATAACAGCAGTGTTCAGATTAGTGAACTATTGCAATTTAGCAATATAGAAATGTATATATGTATATACAATTTATTTATTTATTTATTTATTTATATATATACATACATATGTTACATATATATATAATGTATATATATATATATATATTATGTGTATATATATATACATATTATGTATATGCAAACCCCCCATTCTGCAGCCTGCCCCGTGGAAGTGACAGGCTGCTCTGCTGCAAGTCATGCGCTGCTTGGATGAGGCGCCAAAGGGCGCTTGTTTCGTTTTGGAAGTTTCATTGGGGGGAGAAACTGCTGCGATTTCATCGTCATTTTGTAAAGTTGGTTTTTAATCCCCATCAACAATAGCTATAGCCCCCATAAACCCTAGATATTGGAGATATAAACCAACTTAGCTAACTATGGGGCACCACCTTGTAGGGGTATAGAACCATGAAATGATAGCTTTTGAACCAACAATGGACGATTTTCTGTTGATCTGTTGGATGTTGCAGATTTATCATGAAATGATTGGTATTTAAACCAACAATCATTGGGATTTAACCTGACTTAACATGATTTAAGCATTGTAAACTTACATGGGTATACAATGATTAATAATATGGTGTTGACTCGTTGACGCTTTACGGTATTATATGGCCGTGTTTTTTTAATCATTATTAATTAGATGGTATTAATATGGTGGCAAATTACATAGTATACATGATTATATCTTAGTTGGGATTACGGCATTTTGATTTCAGACACAAAAATCCCTACCGGGGATGATGATCCCAATGAATTTCAGGAGGGTGGAACCACTGAGTCCTTGAAATTGAAAAGAGATGGTGTTTTTGTTGGTCTTATTTCACCAACAAAAACTTGGAAGTCCTGAATCTTACGTCACTCTTCTGGATTTCCATAGTAATACATATATACTGTTACATACATAAACTTGGAGCATGTATTGATCAACAAAATCCAACGATCCTGATCCAAAACAAGTTTGGAATCTTGACAAATGGAAATTCAACCAAACATTGATCTTGACCATTGGAGATACCCTCTGGCAAACGTTTACATTTTTCATGGGAAAACTCACTATTTCTATGGCCATTTTCAATGGCAAACCGTAAACGTTTACCAGAGGGTAGTGCTTGAAACCAACAACGCCTGGATTTTGAACCAACGTTTCCATATGGGATCTGGGGTTTCCTAAGTCATGGGGGATCACCAAAAAATGGATTGTTTATAAATGTTTATAATGGAACATGTTGTTTCAATGGATGATTTGGGGCGTACCCGTATTTTAGGAAACGAAGTGTCCGTCATTGATGCTACTGTAAATCACTATATGTCTACCAGAAACATGACCCATATGCTCCATGGTGCTGGTATATTTAGCTACATGACTGGGTGATTTTGTTCGGGCAAATGTTGGTAAATATTCCATACATGGGGCATATGGGTATTTGATCAGACATGTGTTTGATCAGACATGTTCATGGTTTGTCATTGATCGGTTCCATACTTGGTTGATCTGCTGAGCCGGTGGCCATAGTATGCCATAGTTTCGTGCCGTGCTGAGGTACAGGCTCGATAGCTTCATAGTATCAGATGAATAGAAACATGGGTCCTAGATCCAAATCTGATATATTATATATATATATCATGTATAGATCTGGTTATATATGGTTAAATATAGAAACCACAGACAAAGTCCTAGGTCCTAGTCTTGGGGTTGAACAGAAATGGCATGTTTTTCGGAAAGTAATGATCAACTAATTATTTAACAGCCTACAGACAAATGAAAATATGAGAGTTCCGAAGTGGTGGATGATATGGTTTCCACCTGGCATTTGTGGCTCTACGTCGATCCCTTTTTGTAATGTGTGTATAGCGATCGGTTGCACCGGAAACATATTTATATATATACACATTTAATTACATATATATATATATTGCCACTGCCTATTATTGGATAAACAAGCATTCCTGTGCAAACCGCAGTTTGGGCTTTTGTTAAACATGGTGGTATGAGGCAGGTTGACCAGTGGATTTGGGGCCAGGCCAGATGAACTTGGCATCTGGGTGTGAAACGGGGAGATCCCCAATTCTTTAAGACAAAGCCAGACTAGATCCTTTAAAAAACATATATAATGTTTATTTCCCCATAATTATATAATGCTTAGATCCTTAGAAATTATATACTGTTTAGGCTGCAACTGTTTGGAATAATGTTGGTAAAACAATTTCATAAACAATCCCCCAATTTCACAGAAACCATTCGATGCAGCTGCAGGACCTTGCGCCCCTGGGAGTTCGTGTCGGCCAGCTGGCTTCGTTAGCTAAGTTGGTTTATAACTCCAATAACTCGGGTCTATGATTTAGATAGATAGATAGATGGATGGATAGATGGATAGATAGATAGATAGATGGATGGATAGATGGATAGATGGATAGATGGATAGATAGATAGATGGATGGATAGATGGATAGATGGATAGAAGGATAGATGGATAGATGGATAGATGGATAGATAGATAGATAGATAGATAGAGAGATAGAGAGATAGAGAGATGGATGGATGGATAGATGGATAGATAGATAGATGGATGGATAGATGGATAGATGGATAGATGGATAGATGGATAGATAGATAGATGGATAGATGGATAGATGGATAGATGGATAGATGGATAGATAGATAGATAGATAGATGGATGGATAGATGGATAGATAGATAGATGGATGGATAGATGGATAGATGGATAGATGGATAGATAGATAGATAGATGGATGGATGGATAGATGGATAGATGGATAGATGGATAGATAGATGGATAGATGGATAGATAGATAGATAGATAGATAGATGGATGGATAGATGGATAGATGGATAGATGGATAGATAGATAGATAGATGGATGGATAGATGGATAGATGGATAGAAGGATAGATGGATAGATGGATAGATGGATAGATAGATAGATAGATAGAGAGATAGAGAGATATTGTTATATATATATATGTGTGTATATAGTTATATATATACATATAGTTATATATATATATAGATATAGTTATATATATATATAGATATAGTTATATTTATAGTTATATATATATATAGTTATTTTTGTATTTATTAATGTTTATGATAGATATTTTCATTATAGATATATATGTACTTATCTATATGTATATATTACACATATGTATATAATTATTTACTATGCGTGACAAAGCCAGTTATAACTGGGCAGGCAGTACCTTGTATTAGAAAGGGGGTTAACATGCTTTAACCAACAAAACGGGGATATTGGTGGGTATTGATGGATGAAGCATATACCCAAGAATAATGAATTTATTTATTATTCATTATATTTACTGGATCTCGGGTGTATTTTGATTCAAACCAACAAGTATGAAACTTCAATAAACTAAATGATATTATGGGATCTATATCAGGGTTTGTTTGAACATGTTGGGACACCCCAACAAACTTGCTGGTTGAGAAAACATATTCCCCATTCAAACTGCCATGTAGCCATGGAACTGGGAAAGACTGAGCATAGACCTCACCTTCCGACATTGTAATGATTGTGTATACTTTGGATCCACCAAAATATCCGAAGTTTTCAGGGTGCTTTTCTTATTGTTCAGCCGGATACGTTTGAAGGAGTTGCGGAACAGACAAACATGTGAAAATCACTTTGAAATGATTTGGAATTGGGAAAACATGTATACTACAATACCGACTGTGCCACCATTTGGTTGATTCGATATTATCCCTTTTTGGTTTTCTATTCCAGGAGCTAACCCGACGTGGATCGCAACCATCGTCATCAAGATGAGATTAAGTCCCTGATTCGTTGCGTAACTTGAATCCATGGATTCATCGAAGGGAACACTTGCGAGGGCACAATGGTTTGTTTAGCCCTAACTATCTGTTCATCTGGTTGGTGGTTTGGAACAATTCTTATTTTTCCATATATTGGGAACAATAATCCCATTTTTCAAAGGGGTTGAAACCACCAACCAGTCATGCATGGGTCCGGAGAAAATCGGCAGTGAGTGATCTTGTGTGCGCAGAAACCCAGTGATGAAATTTCTCCATGTTTTTTGGTGTCTCATCGGGAAAATGTCAAACTGACCCATCGAATTGCCACTTAGCCATGTGGAGAGAAAACCATAGGAAAACCAGGTTTTTCCCCAATTTTCCCATCGTTTGGAACCATCCGAGGATCCACCATGCCGGGAGTGGTGGACACGGCCATGCAGTCGCATTTGCGATCGCAGGAGCACGGGAGCACGGTGGAGTTGGGGCTGGTGGTGCCCAAAAAACAAACGCGGTTGGGCTATCATGCAAAAGGAGACACAGGATTAGTTGTCCCATTTTTTATAGATATTTATAGGATACACATTTTGGGTTTAGATTTTCAATTGTAGTTTTCCCATATAAAGAAATCGTTTTTTTTTAGATATTCGATATTTATAGATATTTATAGACACGATTATTATAACAACAATATTATAGGATAAACATGTTGGGTTTTTCAATTGACACTGTGTATCTGTGGGAAAGCTTGCATATATACTGTGGAGCCAACCGAATCTATGTGAGTGATGGACTATTTTGGTGTTTTCTCTGCAAGTCACAAGAGGGCGGATCTTCCAATGATGCCTTGTCTCCCAGCAAGACGGTATGGTATGACCCGCTTAGCGACACCTACTTTCTTTTCAACCAGGTTGTGAAGAATAGCCATGACATGTCAGCACAAAATGCTGAGTTTCTGTAGATTCATCGACTTGCCCATAGGAGTTGCGCAGGTACTTGATACCTCTGTATATATATAAATAATTGAATATAGACACGTACCATGTCCACATGGGCTGATGGTCATACCTCTGGTCTATTTCCTTCAGGCAGATCGTTTGCCTATCATCTTGAGATTTTCCAATCTAATTATTCCTGGTTGGTGGTTTGGAACATGTTTTATTGTTCCATATATTGGGAATAATCATCCCAACTGACTAATATTTTTCAGAGGGGTAGGTATACCACCAACCAGTTCTTGTTTTACCGTTATTTTTCTACCAGAGACTTGCTGAAGGTGGGTCATAGAGCATTATTTTTAATGGCATGTCCCAATAATTTCCTTGCGTTTTATGGTTAAATATGCCGAAGCTATCAAGCATGTTTCAGAAATGGTGTCTATATACATATTTATATACCGTAGTTCACATACCGCATAGGCAATTGTTAATATACCAGCAAAGTTGATTAACAATAGTTTGTATTGTTTTTAGTATTCACATTTTTGTTAATAATGTTAAGTGCCTATGATAATCCCTCTTATTGCAGCCCCTATCAATATTATGACCCCTATGATCAACAGTGGCTGATATCCCTGGTTAACATAGTGATGATGATCAAATAATTAACCGCAAATGGGATGATTCATCCACATTGTCCAATTGTTGATGGTTAAATCCCATAGTGATAATAGTTAAATCCCATTGATGGCAAAAGAAAGCCCCTATGAATATTATAATCCCTATTATCAACCATGGTTGTTGATGGTTAAATCTCATGAACAAACAGAAACATCCCTATTTTAATATATTATAACCCCTATTATGATTACAGTCCCTATGAATGTTACAATCCCCATTATAATCCCTATTGTTGATGCCCTATTATCAACTCTTGGTTGTTGATGGTTAATATCCAATTGTTGATGGTTACATCCCATTAAATCCCAACAAGTTTAATCCCAATAGATCCCAAAATAGGGATTATAATATTCATGGGGCCTACAAATAGCCATCAACAATTGGATAGTGGGATTTAACCATCATCACTGGGGGATTTACCCTCTGGTAAACTAACATGGCTATTGAACATGGCCATAGAAATAGTGGATTTACCCATTGAAAATGGATATGTTCCATATTTTTTGTTAACGTTTACCAGAGGGTAACCATCATATATCCCATTAAATCCTATTAAAATCCCTTAAAATCCCATTAAGTCCCTGGATAGTGGGATTTAACCATCATCACTAGGGGATTTAACCATCAACAACCGTTTAAATCCCACGATCCAAAAGACGCCAGGACTTCGAGGGCGCAGACATCTTCCGCTCCCTGACACCGCCCGTTGCCAGTTTCGAAGGACCCAAGGCGCCACCGCGAGGCGAGATCTGTGGGTGAAAACTAGGGACGTCGTTAAAGCCGCGTCAAAAAATGTTGGGAGATGTTGGGAAACCTTGGAAAAAATTAGAAATCATAGATAAATCAAGGACACATGGTGGCTTGACGCTGCAATTTATGGTACTTTTAGTGAAAAAAACTGTTCTATTTGGTGGAAACCTGGAATTGCAAGAACGTCGCAGTAGTTACTGCAATGATACCCCATGTTCAGAAGCACCCAAAAAGTATATTCACCATTTTCATCAATTTTCAGTAAGACAGATTTTTCGAACCACTCACACTTTTTATGACAATATATTATCCCCATATTTATTATTGTTGTTTAGATCCATGTGCTGTCTTCCTCCCCAATATAGCGAAGTTGCAAGGCTTGGATCATCCGGAGAACGTGGCTGACTTTCTGAGCTGGCTGCTGTTGGAGGCGACAACGACGGTGTAACCGGTGGTGGAATTGGGATTGTTTGAAAGTACGGTGGAACCATATCTGGGGCTACTATATAATCCCTTATCTCCCCACCACCCAGGTGAGGGTCTCTAGTTCCTCCTTCCCTCCTTTCCCTCCCTTCCCTCCTTTCCTTCCTTTCCCTCCTTTCCCTCCTTTCCCTCCTTTCCCTCCTTTCCCTCCTTTCCCTCCTTTCCCTCCTTTCCCTCCTTTCCCTCCTTCCCTCCTTCCCTCCTTCCCTCCTTCCCTCCTTCCTTCCCTCCTTCCCTCCCTCCCTCCCTCCCTCCTTCCTTCCTTCCTTCCTTCCTTCCCTCCGTCCGTCCTTCCCCTCCTATCCCTCCTGTCCCGTCCCTCCACTTCCGATCCTTCCCTCCCTTCTCCGATCCTTCCCTCCTTCCCGTCGCTTCCCTCCTTCCCTCCTTCCCTCCTTCCATCCTTCCCTCCTTCCCCTCCTCCCGTCCTGTTCCCTCCCTTTCCCTTCCTTTCCTGCCTTCCCGGTCCTTCCCATCCATTCCCTCCTTCCCGGGGCCCTGTAGCCTTCCCTCGCTTCCCATCCTTCAACCGTTCACCTCTGCCTCTCCTATCCCAAAATTGGCCCGTCCTTCCCTTCCTTGCCTCATCCCGGTGTGATCCTATCCCTCCTTCCCCCTACCTGTCCGCCTCCTCAGATCCGCCTCGCTTCGCCTCCTTCCCCAGTCGGCTTCCCTCCTTCCCTCCTTCCCTCCTTCCCTCCTTCCCTCCTTCCGCCTCCTCCCCCCAACAGCGAGCTCCAGATCTCACTAGGCGCTGCCGAAACCTATGTGCCCACTGTGCCCACTGTGGCTGTGCCCATGTCAGAAAGAATGCCAGAAAAGATGTCAGAATAGATGCCAGAAAAAATGTCAGAATAGATGCCAGGTAGAATGTTTGAATAGATGCCAGATAGAATGCCAGAAAAGATGCCAGGTAGAATGTTAGAATAGATGCCAGAAAGAATGTCAGAATAGATGCCAGAAAGAATGCCAGAAAGAATGTCAGAATAGATGCCAGAATGCCAGAAAGGATGTCAAAGAATGCCAGAAAAGATGCCAGAAAGAATGTCAGAATAAATGCCAGAAAAATGTCAGAATAGATGCCAGGTAGAATGTTAGAATAGATGCAAGACTGAATGCCGGAATGGATGCTTGAATAGGTGCCAGATAGAATGCTTGAATAGATGCCAGATAGAATGCCAGAAAAGATGCCAGAAAGAATGTCAGAATAGATACCATAAAGAATGTCAGAATAGATGCCAGAAAGAATGGCAGAATATATACGGCATGTGAAAAAACTACATGTGTTGCCCGAAAGGATCTTTTGAGAGTCGAAACAAAGTTGCATCAGCTACCTTTGATAAAAATCACCCGCAGACCGATGTGGCGTTTGCCGGTATCCCAGGGCTGTTTACAAAGGTTGAACTCCACCAATAACGTTCCTGTGTCTCTCTTATTGTGTTTACTTGCAAGAAATCCACCAAGTCATCTTTCAATGCTTGCCATTCATTCACAAATAGGGGCAATGGTAGATGCATCATGATGCATCAATATATCCGAAACGGAACATCATCCACAAATCAGAGGATCCTCGCAGACCTTTTCTTTCTTCAGTGAAACTCCAATGGCTGGGATCCCTGGGGTAAACTAATATGGATGTGTCAAATGTCCCGTTTACTGTGATGACTACCTATCAAACATGGTGATTTTCCACATCTACTTTAGTGCAAAGGACTGTTTTCATCCTTTTTCTGTATCCGAGGAACAAAACATGGCATGGAGTCCTGTAAATGTTCCGGGAAGAACCAACAAAATGCAAGGTGATACATGATTCCCCAAATCCAACGGTTTAACACTTCATGTTTATCACAATTGCAAGAAACCGAAACATACTGTACCCATTTTCAAACAGAACAACAAATCCACATCCATTTTTCAAGAGCAAAATCCCGATGTTTGATGGTTAATTTGGACGAATGAATTTCCGTGGTTGATGTTTCTGAATCCGGTCAAGGACAAAGCGATATCATGTTGCTGCTGTCTATCCGATTTGTATCTCCATACCATGCAGCGCCCTCCAAGTTATAAGTTGGTTTATCTTCACCCCATTAACAATATATATATATATTAATAAACAACCATGTGTTTATGTTAAGATAAAACACCAAGTTGGTTTGTAGTTGCTATCTTTAGCATCAACCCTAGCTATACTTATTATCAATCAAACATTTGAATACCATAGATATTGAATGATATCGTTTACTTATATATCTACCATAAAGGTTCTATAGATTAGTTCTACATCCACCATCTAAGGCTATATATATATATGTATATATATAGATATCTACCATAAACCATATTGACAAAGCAATGAATCGCACCAAACGTGGCCGGTTTTTTGGGCAGGTCCCGCTGGAAGTGTTTGGTGGTCGCGAGTGGAACATTGGCGACCCTGAGACTCAGAAGATGTGGCTGCGCAGCCGTGAGGTGAGGGCGAGGAGTGGGAGATGAGACATGGGGGATGGGTCAAAACATATTAAACGAGACATGGGTGGAAATAAACACACCATTAAGCGATAAAAAAGGGTACCTAGAGCCTAGAGTATCATAATATACATTAATATACCCATGTTACTGCCCATATTTCAAATATATCCATAATATACCCACAATACACCCATAATACATCCATAATATATCCACAATATGTCCATAATATATAATCATAATACATCCATAATATATAATATGTCCACATGATGTTTTTTGGTCTAATATCCATTTCACTGTCCATATTACTAAAAAATGGGAGATCAAGAAACAGCAATGGATATACAATATAAGATTAGACCTCACTATAAACGAGTTTCAATCGAAGTGGAATCATCCCCATTAATAATCCCATTATGGGGATATGTTGGGGATATATGGCGATTAATAATAATGCCATTATGGGTATGTAATCCCATTCATAATCTGATTTCGTAATGATAATGATATATAATGCTCCCAGAAGCTAATTAGGATAATCCAACTACTTTTTGCAACCTGTTAGCAATTTCAAATTTCACTTCGTTGTTTGCATGTTCTACAGCCTGGCATCCAGCCTGGTGAAACATCGGAGGACATCCAGCCTGGGGCAAGCGGTACCCTCTGGTCATTCAGTTACAGTTTGCTATTTATGGTAGATTTACCCATTAAACCCACTTGTTCACATCATTTTCTACATATCTGGTAATTTGTTAGGCTATAATGGACCATGTATTTCGATGAGTTTACCTATGAATCAGGGTGATTTTCGTGAAAATTGATCCACTTGGCAGTGACTCATCTGGGCCAAGCATGGTCAAACTTTTTTTTTGCCCGGCAAGGGACAGATAGAAATCAAATTCTTGGGGTACCCTCTGGTAATTTAACATAGCTATTGAACATGGCCATTAATAGTGGATTTTCCCATTAAAAATGGTCATTTTCAGTAGCTATGTTAAATTACCAGAGGGTATCTAATTTTTGACCAACCAGATAAGCATCTAAACTCTTGTCAAACGAAACGCGTTTTTTCTACCGTATTTCGTTTTTTTTGGTGGATGAAATAGATCCGTATTTTTGGGATTGGTTGATTCACCGGCCATTCACCTAGCGAAACATTGGGGAGCCCAGGGATCTTAAGGACTATGAAGTTGTATATCGTTGTGATACTCATTTGCCAAGAAGATTCATACTCAAATGTGGATGAGGGAAACATGGCAAGACAATGTAAAACAAATCAGCCCGACCATGTTTCGTATGGATTGAATTTGATTGACTGATGTCAGGGTTTGGGATTGGTACACATCTATGTGTTACATCCACATCATATTGGAAGTTAATTTTTCATTGTCCAACTTAAGTGGTACCCCACTTGCGGCCCGGCTGTGACCAAATCTGTCGGAGCATCCCATTGGGTCCAGGCGCCTTCATTCTGATGCGAAAAAGGGCAGGGTGCAGAAGGGGAACGCTGCGGATGATTCCTGAAGACGAGTTACCTGGTTTTGTGGTTTGGAACATGAATTATATTTTCCATATATTGGGAATAATGATCCCAACTGACTTTCATATTTTTCAGAGGGGTAGGGCTCAACCACCAACCAGTTACTAGTGCAACTAGAACTCGGAGATCAAACAAAACACAACTTCTTGACAAAACCGTGTTAAAAATCAGAAGAGGTTTGTGGATGATTTTGGGGTCCCACACTAGAAACACACCATTTTAATATGATCCAGTTCCTACATTTTCTGGTTCACCCTAGGAAGCGTAAGTGGCTCAATCCCAGTTATAAGTTATAGCGTCAGTAGGGTTGGTCCAGATATAACTGGGGTTATGACCCACTTACGATTCATGGGGTGAGCCAGCAATTGCGAGCGGTCCTTGGAAAGCCGACATCAATGGTGGTATCGACACAATTTTCTGTTTGAAGTCGACATGGATTTCTCCAAAATACGTGTGATCCAAATTTACCACCATCTAAGGGAAAAAATATTTGAAGGAAAATAATGGTCCAAGTTCATACCAATTGATTGCAACTTCAATAGGAAAATGATGTATATAATTGCTTGGAGTTGGGGATACCCTTCAGAAAACAGTCACAGAAAGATGTCGAAGACCCATGAGAAAATCAAAGAAATACGATCTACAAATAACTATATAATATAGGTTTTCTCCACTATATAGTTGAATGATGTGGAATTGCCAGAGTTATTTATATATGTGGGAGAATAGCGGTACTTTTTCGACATGATAAGGTGGTAGCTTTCAACGTTGGTCGAAACCACCAGATAGATATGGTGTGTTTGAAAATGGGGGATAGCCGCAAAATGGCCATTGAATGGAAAACATGATGATGAAATGTATGTAGGTACCCTATTCTCAGACAAACCCAGATGCCGAACCTATACCCCATGAACTTATTAAACATCGAAGATCCAAGCTTCCCTATGCTCTCCAAATCATTAGGCAAGTCAGATTTCACTGATTTCACAAGTGATTTCCCAAATGTTTGGATCCATGTTAGCTATAATCTCGTGCTTAGTTGCTTGTTTACAGAATGCCAGTTGCGTTTTCCAGGAATGATTTGGTGTCCCAGGAACCCAACCGACACCACTTTGCCTTACCAAGTCACCCCTCGTTTGGATGGCCCTACTTTGTAGCAACAAACGAGTTTTGCTCCGATTTTCACGGGTGAAACCATGGTTAAAGCCTACAGTTATGGACCAAAATACAAGTTATAAGTTATAAGTCAGTGCGTTACCCCAGTTATGGAATGATCACCCCAGCCAGAAGCATTTAAATCACTGGCAGTCCCTTTAAAAAAGTTCCACTACCCTCTGGGAAACTAAGATAGCTATGGAAAATCACCATCTTTAAGTTCGGTCAACTATAAATGTGCCATTTTCCAATAGGTATGTAACAAATTACCAGAGGGTAAAGTCCCATGAAAGAATCCCATGGAAATCCCTATTGTTGATGGTTAAATCCAATAAACATCCGGTAAATCTGGAAAATCATAGAAAAAACCAATTTCACAACAACATGGAAAATCCTAGTATATCTAGTATATCCCATAAATATATCCCATTTCCCATAGGATCCATAGGATCCCCATAGGAAAAACACATGGTTTCAGCGTTGACTCCGCCGGTTTCAGCGTTGGCTCCCGCCGGCGCCGAAGCGGCGCGCCGGAGATGGAGGATGATCCCATCGAGGCCATGGCGGTGCCGGAGGATGCGCCACCGGCGCCCGAGAGCTTTGGACGAAAAGCCATGGCGGGCACTTCACGGGGATTTCATGGGGAATTCATGGGGATTTCATGGGGATTTCATGGGGAATTTATGGGGATTTTAGGGGATTTAAGCACCCATATTAGCTCACCATGGTGCTGGTATACAAAAACCTACATGACTGGGTGATTTTGGGATGTTGGGCAAATGTTGGTGTGCATATTCCAGCACCATGGAGCATATGGGTATTTCATAAGCCCGCAAAAAAAAAGATCGACTTAAGTGTTCCAGGATGGTAGTTTGATGATGTTTTCCCTATCATTTCCTTCAAAGTGTTCTATCTTTTTAGGGTTGCTAGTGGTGAACGATAGTTGGTGGATTCAAGCAAGGAGAATTGGGGGATTTAGTTGACAAAATGATGACTTAAGCATCAAGAATGGAGATTTAACCAAGAAAAATGGTGAAGGTTAATCTCTTAACCCATGATGATTTAACCCATTAAACAAGAGCCCAAAAAAAGTATTGTTTAATGGTGCCTTAATAGGTTTTAAATGGGTATTAACTTGAATTAATGCGAGAAAAGTTGGGATTTAACTTTGCGATAAGTTGGGTTTCCAGCGACGAAACAACTGACTATACTTGGACTTCGATGGGTTCATAGACCAAGAACCATTTTTCTAGGGGGCGCCAACTTGTGAAAAAGGACAAGAGCAACAACAATAGGTATCAATGGGCAACCATCCAGGGGGAGTTTACTAGCAAAAAAAATGATTCAATGGATGTCATCAACTGAAATGCCTGGGAGAGAGTGTGAAAAAATGATGAGGAGCTGCATCGTATGGGGTGCCAAAGCGTGAGGAGTTGTGATTTCATCAGCAACACAATGATGTCAAATGAATTCATTCATACTGTACATTCCAATAAGAACTATTACATGGTGGATAACCTTATTATTGGCAACTGAGTATGTAATTTACATACCAGCAGTTACATGGCAAAAAAAAAACATCTTCAAAATGGTGGCACAAGTTATCATTCATCAGCGGACATGTTGCCGTCAGTGGATGGGTGGTGCCCCTTCCTTCTGGAAGCTAATTGACATCACCATATCACAAGCAAACTAACCTTTTCAGAGCTACGCACTATCCTATTTTTTACTTGTCATGGACCCATTTATACAATTATAGTTGTAGGCCATCTTCACATATATATATATATGTATGTACGTATGTTACATACAATGTATGAAACATTGAAAAAGCACATATTTTAAAAAAAAAGCACAAAACATACAATGCAGATATAATAAGTAACATTAACATGTATAGCAAGGTTATGGCCTCGACGGCGGTACTGCCGGGGGAAGTGCATTCTGACTGCGCAGACTGCGCAGGGACGCAGGGAGGGCCAGTGTTTTTTGCATGTTGAACCTGGCCATTTGGCTGACCAGAGTTGTTTCCAAAACACAAAACCCTAAAACCTAAATCTGACGTGAAACCCTAGGTAAGCCTTGAAAGTAAAATCTCATTCAAACCGTTGCAAAAAAAACAACCTAACAAAATTTAACAAAACCAAATGAAAACCTAAAGAAGCCCTAAACAGTTGGTCAACACCCCCGGCCTGCGGGTAAGTTTAGTAATGAGAACAATAGTAACACAAAGTAACATAGTATAATAGTATATATAGTATAAATTGTTAGTATATAGTATAATTGCTAGTATAATAGTATAATAACAAAAGTATTATTGAGTGTAATATAGACTAATATTGACATTGATTCATAGATAGATATAATATGATATAATTGTTTGAACACACTTACACATTATTATGGCCATAGCGGCGCGAATCTTTGGGCGCTCAAATAATTATCTCCTGGTGTTTTCTCAGCATTTTCAACGATCTCCGCATGAATAGTGGTTAGCAACTGGTTAGTATCTGAGCACTTTTTGGTTAGCCACCCTCCAGTTAGTTGTTACATTGTTACATAGCGTTACATAGCTATGGAAGTCAAGGCCCATTTAGTTCGATGATTTATGATGATTTAAACATGGTGATGTTCCGAGACAGAGGGCATCCCACGACTAAATTCAACATCCCACGACTGAGTCAGACATCCCACGACTAATTGCTAGGTTTCCAGGCGCGCGACTTTAAAAAAAAAAGGGGCGACAATCTCCTTTTTGGACCGTCAGCGGCCTGGATCCTTCAAAAAGGCTTCCGGCAGCCTCTAACTGGACCGGGATCTCCTTTTCAGGCCGACAATTTCCTTTTTGGACCGTCAGCGGCCTGGATCCTTCAAACAGGCTTCCGGCAGCCTCTAACTGGACCGGGATCTCCTTTTCAGGCCGACAATCTCCTTTTTGGACCGTCAGCGGCCTGGATCCTTCAAAAAGGCTTCCGGCAGCCTCTAACTGGACCGGGATCTCCTTTTCAGGCCGACAATCTCCTTTTTGGACCGTCAGCGGCCTGGATCCTTCAAAAAGGCTTCCGGCAGCCTCTAACTGGACCGGGATCTCCTTTTCAGGCCGACAATCTCCTTTTTGGACCATCAGCGTCCTGGATCCTTCAAAAAGGCTTCCGGCAGCCTCGAACTGGACCGGGATCTCCTTTTCAGGCCGACAATCTCCTTTTTGGACCGTCAGCGGCCTGGATCCTCCGGCAGCCTCTAACTGGACCGGGATCTCCTTTTCAAGCCGACAATCTCCTTTTTGGATCGTCAGCGGCCCGGATCCTTCAAAAAGGCTTCCGGCAGCCTCTAACTGGACCGGGATCTCCTTTTCAGACCGACAATCTCCTTTTTGGACCGTCAGCGGCCTGGATCCTTCAAAAAGGCTTCCGGCAGCCTCTAACTGGACCGGGATCTCCTTTTCAGGCCGACAATCTCCTTTTTGGACCGTCAGCGGTCCAGTTAGAGGCTGCCGGGAGCCTTTTTGAAGATCCGGGCCGCTGACGGTCCAAAAAGGCGCCCAGCGGCTTGACTAGGAGAACCCGGTCCAGTTAGAGGCTGCCGGGCGCCTTTTTGAAGGATTCAGGCCGTTGAGGGGCCAAAAAGGAGTTAGTCGTGGTATAATGGTTTTTTGGTCGTGGGCTGTGGGGTGTGTTTTTTTCGTCGTCTTTATTTTTTTTGGTCGTCGTCTCCGCGCCCTGTTCTGGTCGTCGGATCCTCGGCGTCTCGTGATGTTCCATATGTTAAATAACCAGAAGGTGATATCCA